ATTGCCCTAAGGAACGAAGATAAACCATATACTGCTTTCGAGGCTTGTGGGAAACTTTACCAATTTTGCCGAATTCCTTTTGGTGTTACCAATGGCGTAGCTTGTTTTCAACGCATTATCGATGAATTGATCAGTAAAGAACAACTCACAAGCACGTTTGCCTACATTGACAATGTCACTATCTGCGGCAAAACTCAGGAGGAACACGACAAAAATCTAAACAAGTTTATGGTAGCAGCACGCAATTATGGAATAACCCTTAATGATTCCAAAAGTGTGATCTCAAGCAGAAGCATACAATTACTCGGTTATGAAGTTTCAAAGGGGTTATTAAACCAGATCCCGATCGGCTAAAACCTCTTCGTGATCTAGAACCACCCACAGATATCAAATCTCAACAACGGGCCGTTGGATTATTTGCTTATTATTCACAGTGGATCCCTCGCTTCTCAGATAAAATCCACCCATTGGTAAATAATCGGATTTTCCCTCTTGATATCGAAACTCGAAATGCTTTTGACAAACTGAAAGACGACTTAGAACGTGCAGTCGTTGTGGTAGTTGATCCGAAAGCACCCCTTGTTGTTGAAACAGATGCTTCAGATGTCTCAATTGCAGCTACATTAAACCAGAATGGTAAACCTGTCGCCTTCTTTTCTCGAAGTGAGAAACATCATTCATCGGTTGAGAAAGAAGCCTATGCCGTGGTTGAAGCAATTCGTAAGTGGAAGCATTACCTTCTCGGAAATCACTTCAAACTTGTCACTGATCAACGTTCAGTAGCATTCATGTTTGACAAGATTCATAAAGGCAAAATCAAGAACGATAAAATAATGCGTTGGAGAATTGAGCTATCCCCTTATCAATATGACATCATTTATCGTCCTGGAAGGGATAATCAAGCTGCTGATACATTTTCCCGTAGTTTCTGCGGTTCCTTGCAGTCAGTGTGCGACTTGAAATTTCTCCATGACTCTATGTGCCATCCTGGAGTTGTCCGAATGATGCATTTTGTACGCTCGAGAAACCTTCCATTCTCCCTTGACGAGGTGCGCAATGTAACCAGTAAATGCGTGACATGCTGTGAGTTAAAGCCTCAATTTTACAATCCCTCTAATTTCAAACTCATAAAAGCAACCCAACCTTTTGAAAGGTTAAGCATCGACTTTAAAGGACCTCTACCGTCAGCTAGCCGCAATCACTATCTGCTCACGCTGATCGATGAATATTCTCGATTCCCCTTTGCATTCGCCTGCCCCGACATGTCGTCTCAAACGGTAATGAATTGCCTTTGCCAACTGTTTTCGATTTTCGGTATGCCTTCTTACATACATACCGACAGAGGCGCTGCTTTCATGTCTACCGAATTACGGGCATTTCTTCTGGAGAAAGGCGTAGCAACCAGTCGTACTACCTCATACAATCCTCAAGCCAATGGGCAGGTCGAGCGCCTCAATGGAACACTTTGGCGTGCCATCACTCTAGCATTAAGATCACGGGGCCTACCAACGGCACAATGGGAGTCTGTTCTACTCGACGCCTTGCATTCCATCAGATCTTTGCTCTGTACTGCAACGAACGACTGTTTACCTATAACCGAAGATCGACATCTGGGACAACTCTTCCTACTTGGCTCACTGTACCAGGACCAGTACTTCTCCGGCGGAGTGTTCGTCAGTCCAAATTCGATCCCCTGGTTGAAGAGGTGGAGCTATTGAATTGTAACCCGCAATTCGCTCACGTTCGCTTCGGTAATGGACGTGAAGATACAGTTGCTCTTCATCATCTGGCACCCAAAGGCGAAGATATAGATCAAGTTGAAAATTCAATACCGGAGGGCGACGCAATTCCTGAGCAACAAGTAAATGGGGATGCGACCACTGATCCTAATATTCTTCGTGAAGAAAATACAACTGAAACGAACAACGGGCGTATTCTTTTGGAAAAACAACAACGTGTACGGCCTTACAATTTGCGTACCAGAGAAGCGTGACATAATGGCTCATTCCTTTTCAAGCCGCAGTGAATGTTGTGAACTTTTCTTATAATACGTATCTAATCATATTCATATCTCTACCGCTATTAACACTCTTTTTTTCCTTTATATGTTTAAGCCATTCCGGCTTCATTGTAAAATGAATAAAGCCTAAATTCTTGGTTCATTCGTCCTTTCAAGATTCAAGCATCACTCATCGTTCTAAGACTCAGTCACCTTCATAACAGGTATAACAGTGGATGACTTATATTCTCTCTTATTTATGTTATCATTACTAGTTCCACAACTATTTTTATTTTGTTTTTGGACTTTACTGATCTTCCTAATGAATTTTATAGGATAATTATTCAACACCAACGCTTCTTCCGTCTATTTTATTTCATCATTTAGGTCTTTTCTAGTGCTACTCAGTGCTATGGCTCGGTTTGTTAGACACTTATCTAAACCTGCCTTAACAGTTAACGGATGAGACGAATTAAAGTCTAAATATCTATTAGAATGTGTTGGTTTTCTATAAACACTAGTGTGTAGTTGCCTTCTTTCATCCTTTTTATCTTACAATCTAACATAGCTAATTCTCCTTGTTCATTTTCTGATTCAAATGTAAATTTTATTCCCTCAACTTGTGAGTTTATATGTGTCAAGAAGCTAAAGATATGTTCTGTTTTTAACACTGTGAAAGTGGCATCCACATATCTCCACCATATTTTTGGAGTAGGATTAAATGTATTGAGGGCACTATTTTCCCAGCTGTCCATAAATATGTCTGCTACAATAGTGGATATTGGTGATCCCATTGCTACACCTTCTGTTTGTCTATACAGTTTGCCTTGGAACTTAAAGATAGTAGATGTGAGGCATAACTGAATCCCTAACATAATTTCTCCAATGGGCAGCTTTGTCCTATGATTGAGTTCATGATCCGCAGTTACTTCTAAGGCCATATTGACTGGTATATTAGTGTAAAGACTAGTTATATCAAAACTAACCATTGTTTCATCAGTCTCTAGTTGAATGTCATTTAGTTTATTTTTCATCTCATATGGATTAGTTAGTCTAGAGTTTGAACAATTTCTAATGGGGCACAGTATTAGAGCTAAGTGTTTTGATAATTCATAAGTGGGGGTATTTCTAAAATCTACTATTGGTCTTATGGGGTAACCTGGCTTATGTATTTTAGTAGTACCATATATTCTACTAGCATTATTAGTTTTAGGCTTTAAATTAAACCATTTAGACTCACCCAGTGACGGAAAGAGAAGCTTTAATTAGTCTAAAACAGGATAAAAATATTGTCATCGCAAAAGATGACAAAGGAAACGCCACCGTAGTTTTGAATAAATCTGACTATATCAAAAAACTTAATGAACATATTCAAACGGGTCCATATGAGGAAATTAAGAAGCCTGTAGATACAATAATGAATAAGGTTAAGAAATCTGCAGCAGAACTAATACGCAGAATGAAGCCGTCAGGACTTCATATGGAAGATATTATTACCGAAGGTCAAATCAGAAGAGGATAGATAATAAATAATCTTAAAATTCTATTTCAATTCAAACACATCACAACATTCTAACAAGTAACTTATAATGACTATAAAAACACTCGTCGTATTTCCCATATAATTGTGATGGATCAATAACACTCGTACTATTATTTTTGAATGTACATTATCTCACATTGATTTTTAATCCAATATCTAATCGATTCCACACATGTATATAAATGAAAGAAATAAGTTGTGTGAGTAACTTGATATGATTATGAGTGGTAATAGTTTGTGTTGGAAATGTGGTCATCAGTTAATATAACTGCACAACACTGCGTGATTCGTCAAAATAAAATCTTATCTATAATGGAATTATACTCTACGGCAGTGCCCAAGTTTTACACTTATATTATGTTCGGATCGACTTTGACACATGATATAGTAATATTTCACACGCTCTGATAATAGTAGTATTGATTTACTTTGTTTCACATACGCTTGTTGGCATAAAGATCAACTCAGTGCGGAATAATCGAGAAAGAATCACGAGCACGAGCACTTTATTCACTACAATAATTAATAAATTGATAGGAACTTCAGAACATTTCTAATTTCTTGTGTTCCGGTTCCGTTTAACCGACTTACACAATTCTAATAAGTCTCTTCGACGGTTTACTTCTATCCGTATTTGCAGAATGTATCTAGTAGCGGATACCATCATAACCAGGAAATGACGTTTACTGATTTGCTACGATACATCTGAGGTTTTATTTCTAAAGTCTTGAAACACATGATTAAAAGACGTTTTCTGTCTCCTTGACCATACGCTTCTCTAAGGGCTGCTTTTCTGAAAGAATCCGCAAAGGTTCCCAACAGCACGCAATCAAATAAATCAGCGAGTCCTACCAGCTTTTAATAAAGTGCAATGACTACATCATCCGCATTTCCTCTAGTCTTTAAATAAAAGTCGGCTGTAATTAGATATGAATTAGCCAAGTTTTTTAGGTCGTGGAAATCATAACAAACGCTGCAGATATGAAGCACCTCATGAGCCTTACAGTGAATAGGTTTTTTGATGAATTCATCAAGCAGATGATGAGAGGACTTAACTTCGCTATCTTTGCCTTTCATACATTCATAATCTGATCAAATACGGAAATAAATTTAACCATCTCTTTCCCACTGATTATCTATCGCCTTTTTGATTCAATACGCGTACTTAAGTTTTGATCATGCTAAGTTCGGTGGCAATGTCTACAACTGAGACATCAGGTTACTCGAGTTTTGAATCGTGCAGAGATATTTGTTCCGTCGAGGTTGGATTCCTTTCGACTGGAGTTTAAAATGTATGACTAATTTGGAAAATCACTCATTTGACACTCAAAGAAAGGCTATCGCGTAACACGAGTAGCCAGAAAGTCGTCATGAATACGCTAGGTTTGACTTTTTATTGTGAACAAGGACCTTAAAAAAAATACTCCAATTTATATTGCCGTTAATAGAATAGCTAAGTCCAAGAATATACATATATTTCATTCATAGGAGAAATAAAAGTCATAATTAAGTACATTTCAATTAGATAAAAGTATTCACAATAGCAAATTACGTTCAACATTATGCTTCTCCACTTGTATAAATTCACTGAGCCAAATTCAAAATTTTCAAGTGAGTCCGGATAAGATTTGTCAGATAAGTGACCATCAGTAAATCTTTGTAACTTGAATTGATAAGTTGTTCCAAGTGATCAGGATCTAGTTTGGGGATTGAGAAGATTAACTGAGCTATAGATCGTCCAATTTTAGGATCAGCTGGACACTTTTCATCAATCACACTTTCAACATATCGAATAACTTGATCCAACATAGAAATCAGGTGTTGTGAAAGTTGGTACAAATAGACCATGTCGTCTCCAAGCTACGTTGAAAAAACAGGTGATAAATTAGTATAAATTAAAATGTCATTATTGATAGCTTCACTGCACATAATATTGACACCAAAAGATGAAATGAACTACCGATGAAAGAAATGGTTATATTACGATGTATATTTTATACTTACAAACATAAGGAAACCGAAATTCCCAGCACATGACCTCTAGTATTATCAACAGCTATAATAGTTCATGTGAGAATACATAAACAACAGTTGTGTTTAGCTGTTTACAAGAAGCATGAAAAACATCTGTCTGTTCAAACCAACTGTCAATGAACAAAGCTGATTACAGCTTAATATTCCTAAGCAAGCTGATTTATTCTGTGAAGATGTATGACACACCAGGACAAAATATGCAAATTTCACTGCTATGGTTACTGAAGAATACACACAAGACCAAATGTGTAGTGTCGTGTTGTTTGTTTGTTAGCCCTTTCATAACTATATTATATGCCCAGTAAAGAATTGTTTCATACATTTATTATTTCTCTCAAGCTGTATGAAGTATTACACAATATTTCACCTCAAAGCAGATATTAGTAGCACTCGAACTGCTGCACTTCGGTGCCAAGTTCTATGTTGAATCCAGACAGAGACAGACAGTAGCACTAACGTTTGCTTGGTTTCCAGCAATACCACAGGACGTCAAAAGTGACACATCACAATTAAAATAGGAAGGAAAATTCGTAATCACCTACGATTTCTTTTAATCTTTGTAAGGCTGATAATTAGCGTTGAGGTGTAATTACTCACTGATTGTATGTCGATTAAACAAACTGTCATACCTCCTAATATTGACATGTTCTTCAACACGAATTAAAACTAATACTTACTTTTACTTTACTTCGACTATCTCCTACGGGAGGATGAGCCGGCTTCATGAACATCTCGAATCATCGCTTCCCAGGCGCGGCGATCTGATGCAAGGTTTTGCGACAGGGTTATCCAATTCTTGTTCCACAGACGGAGTCCGTAGACGGTTTGTAGCCCAAGGCAGTCCATATCAGCCTTGACTGTACCACCCCTGCGACATCGCCAAGAAGGAAATGGCGAGGGATTTAGAACTGATTTGACCAGATCGTCATCTGGTCGGCGCAGAACATGGCCAAACCACCGAAGGCAACGTTGTTGGACCAGTACTGGAATTTGGTTGATGTTGTTAAGAGTTCATGAAGTTTCATGGGAATTTGGTACAAGTGATGTCCCCAGCATTAAAACTAATGCTGTCTCTCCAACAAGGAAACATAAAAATTACTACTTACTTCCTTTACAACTTCGGTTGTTACATTTAGGATTATTGATTTACTGTTTTTAGGATGTTTAAATTAATCTCAAAAATCTCTTTAATTTTTTTTTTTGGTTACAGCTTGATTCCACACCGTATTTTTGGTACAGGTATAGAATTTTTAGCATGAGATATCGGTAGTCCAAATCTTGCAGGCCGACCATAGATATCAGGAGTGCGTCGGCAGAGGATCGGACTCCGGACCATGTGCATGATCGGCGAGAGTCCTAACCGCTGTGCCACCGGAGCTTAACTCCTGGAAAACACTGACTGATGCATGAGCTTCCTGAATTATTCGTGTACTCTCCTGCATCATCAGTTCTACCATAGTAACAGAGTACTAGTGGCTTCTTAGGGCCTAATCCATTAAACACGTTTCCCATAAAAAAAACTTAATGACCACTTGTGTGCTCTGACAGTAGATGTGTAAAGACTTATCCGATCAAATGAGAGCAATATGATGTAAGATGTGATGGACTAATCTTTTCATATGAAAGCTACCTAATTACACACCTGAGTTTATAAGATTATAGACAATTACCAGATTCTGAGATCATTAAAAACAGTTTAGGGCAGGAAATTTGTGATATGGATATTTTAGACAGATTAATAATCGAGGCGTGAAGAGGAACATTGAATTCGGTCTAACAGATTATTCTGTGGAGTAATTCATGACCAAGTGTCACCTTAACATGCAGAAGATATACACTTCGTGAGTTAGTGGCAATAGGGTTATACTATAAAAGACAGATTTTACAAATTCGTTCGTTTGTCAGACGTTGAGCAGTTTTGAGCTATATGAGGTGATTCCTTAATAATTACAATAGAAATACTGGTAGAGATGACTAATTATGAATCGAACAGAATTTATACAATTTCAAATTCAGTCCCTCGTAAAGATGTCTTAAACTCAATACATACATCAGTTCCAATTTCACTGATCCTAAAAATGTTTGTCATTCCCAGTCAAATGTTAAGATTGGATAGAGACAATGAGCCAGTCTTATAAAATACAATATCAGTAACTTCCTCCTAATCAGTGCGGGAGAGTGACTGACAGACTAACTGGTTTCAACGTAGAACTTCGTACTGATGTGCAGCAGTTCAAGTTGTCATACTTCGCTTAGCACACAAAGCAAGAGAAGTAAGAAAGCAAAACAGAGATAATAAACAGAAATATGAAGAGAAAAGAATAGTAATATAGAACAAATATAGTTTTATAGGATAAGTCACAAGGAGTGAATGCATCTTCGCCAGTCACTGAGGACGATTTTGAGCCATGTCACTAATTGTCTCCAGCCATTGGTTTTTACTCTCTCGAGGACCCCAACCAAGAAGTCTACATCTCCCGACGTGACCTAAACTACTTGTTATGGATTTCACTGATTGGCGAAGCCATGTTTTGGTTTGACCACCACTGACTACTTTCCAACCTGATTCTGTGTCAGCTAGCTAACATTGCCTGTCGAGGAAGGCGATAGCTAGGTATACGTAACACACGTCCTAAGCATCTCAAATGGTGTAACTTCACAACTTGTTCGATTGATTTTCCCTCCTTACCTAGTAACCAATTCATAACTTCAATATCGCTCAGCGTATATACCACCCAACATTGCAGACAGAACACAGACACCTATGATCAAAGACAGCTAGCTATGCCTTTCGTGTCATCTAATCTCAAAGGCCATGTCTCGTTCACAACCATAAAGGAGGACAAAGTGGACTGCTGAGCAGTACACACGCCCTTTAGTCGATAGCTGGACATTACATATATGCCAGAGACGGCGTAAACTAGCATATGGCAAACGAACCTTGTGGATTCGAGCTGAGATTTTGTGAGTGGCCAACGTGGTTTAACGCTTCACTCTTGCCTATCTCTAAGCTAGGAGTCAATCTAATCCAGACTAGTTCTGTAGCATCATCGTACATTTGTCGGGAGTGAATCGCTTGCCAAACATTCGTAGATTGCAGCTCAAGGTGTTCAGAAGACCTTGCTGCACTTTGTCAGGGTCTTCACCTAGGAGTGGGACTATATCATCTGCATATTCTAAGAAAACGAGATTATTCCCTGATGGTAACAAGTTAATCCCCGAGTCGCTGAAGTCAACAGTTAGGGTTAATTCTTTTAGTACACCTATGATGAAATCAAAGAGAAATGGTGATAGTGGGCATCCCTGACCGACACCACTAGTTGTTACCACTTAAGATGACAACTGGCCGTAAGCTCTTGCTGGCTGCATGAGTTCGAGTAGAAGTGCAGGAGAGTGCAGCCTAGTAGGCTTTTTTTGGTGGTTCCGATGGTTTTAACTGGCTGATAGCAAGATATAAACAGAGACAAGAAGAGAAACTGTGGAAAGTTTAGATCTACTACGGTGGCAATGAGAATGAAGTGAGGAGCCAGTTGGTGCTGAACTGTGAATGACACTTCAGTAGTTCAGATGTTAGAATCAGCTAGAAGTTTTTAAGGAAGATTTTAATGAGTCTGCACCTACTTTTTTACCTGCCATTCGATTGGAATATTAGTATATGGTGCTAAACATGCGAAATTCGAGAAAGACGTCAATGGATTTGAAAAACAGGATATATTGGAGTTTGGTTAGCGAGGTTCATAGAACATCGGCTTTTATAGACACAAGTCCTATAATAACTCTACACCCAGCTGTAGCTAGAGAAGCACAAATCCAATAAAAACCAAAATGCGTTCCGATGCATTGATCAGACCACTTTACGTCATAATGCAGCAAAAGTATAACTGAGATTCAGCACAGAATACATTACCTGATCTTATATTAACCTTTGACTCCATTAACTGAAGCCTTTCAAAAAGTCTCTCAATTACATGAAATTTCGGTAATTACACCTAATTGTGATTGCGTCGCAGACTATGGTCAGCTAATCCCTGGAACGCTTAGATTGAATGGTATTTACCAAGAATGTCCACTTGATTTCTATTCAGCTCTCTATATATTAGTTCAGCTATGATATACTAATGGGAATATTATTTTCGCACTTATCTAAGGATAAAACATTCTTAATTTTGTTGAGGAGAAACATTAGTATACAGCTTTATAAACATCTTAAGTAGTGATTTGTTTTCGGGTCGATTTTGCATCCTACAGTTGCAAATTATTGATTCAGGGATGGTCCCAAATGTTACCACTGCTGAATACATGGATCGAAGTAATATGGTATGTCAACTACTTTATGTACTTGAGGAGCAATATCAGAGTTAACGTACTAACGACTAACAAGATCCCAATAGTAGCAAAAAAGTTCACTTGAATTCAGCTGAACTTTTATTACTCACTATATATGCGATGTACGTGGGAGTGGGGCGCAATATGCAACAGTGCATTCTGTTCAATAATGATGCTACAGACTACGAGCCACACCAATCGTGTTAGGACTGGTTCCAACATAGAACTTTGCACCGGTGTGCAGCCGTTCGAGTCGCCACACTTCACTCAGCACACACGACCAGAGAAAAAAGTAAAAAGAAACGCAAAAAGGAGAGACGGCAAAAAGAGATATGAGGCAAAAAATATGCCCATTCCCCTAGGTTGAATTACGGAAAGCAGTAATCGAAATAAAGACTGATTTCTTAAAATTCAGGAGGGCAAAACACTGAACCAACTCGTTATTTGTCATGAAAAGCTACCAAACGGTTTAATGCAAAAGACTCCACCTACCACCCCAAAGAACAAAATTTAGATGGAATAAAACTAAGTTCTTTTTGATACGGCTGAGTGAGTGATAACATAAAATTTAACTCTAAATATTTGACTTAAAAGCGGTGAAATATATCAAGGATGACCGGATTGCTCACATGAGCGTCTTTCAATAAGTTTTGTAACAGACTTTTAGTCCGCAGGGGTATAAGCTGAATTCGATCACTCTTTAAAAGAATACCAGGGCTTTAAATACGTGCTTAGCGCAAAAACTAAAGCACAACGAGAGTTCATATGCTGAAAACATAACACTCAGGAACACTGTATAGCACCCTGAACCATCACACTAAGTCTGCAAAAGGTGATATTGAAAAACAGGGGCACATATTACAATTTATGAACTACGACCGCTACAATAGAAATAAGCATACTGAAACACAAAAATACATTCAAGACGAAGATAAAAAGACAATACACCTACCACATTATGGAGGAATTAGGGTCACTAAAAATGAGAACACACTGATAGGCGTAATATTTCGGTCTACATGTGCAAATCAGAAAACCAATCATTTAAACATTTAACTTAATGCATTCTATTAGATACAGGTTGTTTTTCAAGAAATTATCTTGAATATTAGCACAATAAATGGCAGTGGAAAATGGTAGGAGTGATATCTCTATGACATATGATGAAAGTTACGCGGGAAACGAAGTACTTAGCAAGTTAGAAACAGAAACTCACCTCAGGTTGCAACTTGCTCCTTGGATCGATAGAAGAGACCATCATTTCAACAGCACATCGTTCAGCACCGTAACACTCAATGTCTACTTCAACTGGTACAAATATGAACCCGCGTACGCCACCTGGTATACCCATTTGTCTGCACAAATACGCCTTCAGTGCCATTTTGTCTCCAAAAGTCATGTTAGTATCAACTAGCAGAAAAATAGCGTTTTTCGACTGTTGCATGTAATACTCCTGATGAATAAGTTTGTAGTGCTCTGTGATCTCATTTCCTGTTGCATACCAACCGACAACACTATGAGTACGGTTAACCTAAAGAGAAATAATTTCGTGAAATAAAAGTACTTTGCGTTCAAGAGCTGCCATACTCTTGCCGAATTCAAAGTCCATTGATACCTCAATTTCTGATTCTTTGTGAGGTACACTAAAGCAATGAGTGACTTCAATAATTCCCTTTCCCCACGTTCCTGAAATAGCTACGAAGTTGATCCTGTCATACCTAGAAGCGTTCCAATAACGCGTTCAGACTCCTCCATTCGTCTTTCGTACGCATCTACGATGGACGCCAGCACCACTGGATGAATATGAACAGCAGATCCTGATTCCATTCACGTTAGCGTTTTTTGTATAGCCCTCCTATTTTTAGTTGAATGTACAACCTTGCTTGAATCCTTCAACGTTAGGCAATATCGTTTACGGTTAGGTATTTCGCAATATACAGGATTTCAACTGAAGCACTGCTGAGAGTTAGTAATTAGTCATTTACATCGGTAAATATCAGAAAAAGATCTTCTATATGAAATATCGGCGTTTGTCAGTGCAGCACCTTTAATCCCGTGGGTGGGCGATACTCATTGGACATATGAATGTTTAAGATTACCACTTACAACTATGTTTATAACTAGGAACCCCTTTACTTGGAATAAGCTGCCAAATGACGATGCCAATAAGCAAGAACTCATGTTTATGGTATCAATTTGGTGAAGTAAGAATTCATACAAGTCAGATAACCGTGAATTTATTGTGTCGTAAAACGTTTCACTCCTATGGACGTTGTCAAACGACAAATTGCAATATATTTCCGTATAAACTAGGTGCGACTCCTGAGTCGAATGGAGTTAAACCTGTAGATATTTTCCATTACCTCTAACTCGCATATTTGTCTAATGGTAAAACTCCGAAGCCAGGTTACTTAATAACTATCGCGCAACGAATGGCCCGTGTCACGGCGAACAGTAAATCATTTCTTTAGTCCCCTCCCGGTTTCAAGTCTGTTTTTCATCCCGGGTGTTACTCAGTCCTCAGAGGCGCAATCCACATACCACTTACGGAGATATTTGCACATATCTATGTGAAGCTAGACTTTCCACATATGTTGGTGAAGATCCTGTCTTCAAAACAGCAGTGTAGAGCGAATATCCGATTATAGATCAATAATTCTGATACGTATCATCCCTAGGGTATTGTGAGTAAACACTAGCTTATTTTTAGAGAAATATTGCCTGATCTTTATAAGGATGATGTCCAGAAACAAAATAGCTAGTAGACAGAGACATTTATGAGGAACGTAGTGTCGAAATTCTCCCAGAGAGTGTAGTTTGAACCGACCATGGAGAAGAATTTGCCCATGGTCCACACTTTGACTTAGTTCGGCCTGGACAACACTCTACGAAGTCAACTTATGGACAGCCAAAAAAGGGGAATGAGTTGGACACAGTGATTTGATTTCGCTTGAGTACCATACTGGAATTTTTGCTATTTATATTGTATCTCCTTAGTACCTGGAGTAACTTAGTTCGTCTGGCTGTCTAAGTGTAGTCCATTTGGTTTTTGGTTAGGCATGGGAAATAGTTAACTTTATGTATTTATTTAGACTAAGTGAAACTGTATATCAATACACAAACACCAATTTGTACTGGTAGTCTTCTCCACAGTCACTTTTTTAGAACTATCTAGCAGGTGCTCTTAGAAGTTCACCAGCAGGTAATGACAGATAGGTAAGTAGTGCAACTTCCACTGTATCAAAATGAAGCTTAGACTAAAGTTAGTAAATCACAAGAAATCAGTGTGATATCATCTAAAAGAACGCCTATGCCACATGTGGATATTATATTGTAACAGCCGAAGGCAAGACATGTAGGTCAAGGTATATTTTTCACTCATCAGACCGATCTTCATATACCTACAGTTTATATCCGACAACCAATCACTGAACGTGTGATTTCGGTTTACGTCAGTGAATATGAAATAGAATGTTCAAATATACATAGTATTCTGTTGCCAACACGGAACTGAACTGTGAGAAATGTATTCTGTCGCTAGCAGTATTTGTATAAGTGGCATTTTGTAGCTAACTCAATATTGTACCGTGCGGATAATTTTTTGACTCTAGCAACAAACAGAACGTTCAATCAGAAATATCATATTCTGTTGCTAATGCCGTTTTAAAGTCTGGGAATATATGAATCTCATCTACCTGGAACGCACTGTCAGTATCACACCGCCACATTACGTTATTTAATGTTTGTTTAAAAGGGAACATGACCATGTGGGTTCAAGTGCCATTCTATGGTCGCTCTCCTTGTGGTATTAATACTCACAGACTGAGTCCGTAGTTCATTCCTACTAACCAGATAAGTCTAAAATCCTTTTCCGAAATAAAACCAATCCTATGCTCTGTTTAAATATGTAGCTCTTCACAGTATATAACTAAATAACTTAGTCTTTTTGACTTATTTCTTTGTCATCAGTACTTACAAGCCACGTGTAGTTATAATTGATTGGGTAATTAGGTACACTATGGATAGTAAAAACGGTACAAATGATCACTTTGTGTAAACCAACTTTTAGAAAAACCTATTTTCAACTGAAAGCTGGGATGGGCTGTTTGTACGAGACTTGTAAGGCGAAGATCTGCTATCTCAGACGACAAGTCTCCATGGAAGGAATATCCCTACCTTTGGTGTGTGTGATTTATTGTATCTTGGCGAGGACATCCATCACGATTTGCGAGCAAACGGGATGGATGCCCACTGGATGCTTACCTTAAGGCTAGGTGTCCTCTCTTCAGGCATAAGTTCTCCTGGAAGCAGGTATTATAGTACCAGCATCAGTTGAAATTCTTGCTGCCATGTGGTTTGGTTTTCAAAGAATGTAGGAGTCGTGACGTTAGTGTGAGATCAACCCCCTAATTGGACAGTTATTAGGACCTTTTGTGTGATAGATAGGATCAGCTTTTCAATGATATCGCTCTGACTTATCATATTTCAGTCACGGCATTTGGGATATATACTCTATTCCACCTACCATTATAGCTAAGTCATCAATGGAGACTGATTACAGAGACGGAAGCACAGATCATAATGGGTGTAACACCTGATAAAAGAGCAACTCTCCTTGAGCCTAGTCTGTGCGTTCGCAAACCAGTGGCTTAGTCACATTTTTAAACCTATGGCCATCATCTGCGATCCAGATGCTACTGGGACAAATTATATTAGACCAGCTGATCGACTAGGTGTTGTGCTCATGACTGCTTTGTGATCACTGATCTACAAGACTTGAGTCTTTCTGGCACCATAACTAACCTACTTCCTATTATGACCACGCTCTAAGTGATAAATTAACCATTCCTAACAGCCATCAAATATGTACCAAGGCAGTTTGGAGCCTCAGGATGCATGATATAAACCAACGTCAGATCTAATACGAACAGCTTCTATTGTATTTGTGCAGCACAGACTAAAGGAGAAGCAAAACCAGAATTGGTTGTCCGAATTAGGAGGTATATTTCAGGAATAAATTGGAGCATGAGTTGATTGCCTAACTATCTAGGGATCGTCCACGAGGGAACGAGCACGCCAAATTGAATGGATGCTTGACTTTCAGTTGAACAAATTGACTTATATAGTGATCGTCAGCTTTCAATGTTGAGTGATGAATGCTATGGCTGATAACGCTGAGGAATTTTCTACCGCTGTTGCTCACTGCCAACCTAGTGGATGGCACAATGAAAATAAATTACGTGCCCGAGAAAAAAATATCAAACGCGCGATAATTCGCACGCGTCTCATCATTTAGTTATGTTGGATAAATGTGAGGATGTCCTGGGGATCTCACGGTTCGTTAGGAACGCGCTTGTTTTGAGGGTTTTCGGCGTGCAAGGATTTCGTCGAGGACAAACGGATATTGGGTTTCCTGTGTATCATTGGTAATCCTTAGTTCGAGGCTAATGGGGTTGCCTTCTAAGTAGGCCAGTTTCAGACAGGATCTTTGCAGCCTGTTATGTCTAGGGTAAACCATTTAAATTTGAACAAAGCAAGAACTGCAGTTTTAGCAGAATAAAATGGTACCATCTTTTATTTCGTTGCCTTCTCGTCAGCTGCTAACATGGCGAAGAAATTATTAAACATATATACAACAACAATTTTAACATACTTGCACAGAGTTCAGTTTAAATAAAAATCAATCGATCAATATAAACCATTTATCCATACGTTTGATGACTTCATGGGATCCATCGTGGGGGTTTTCAGACGGAGGCACACGGAGTCACTACAAACAAATACATGTGTAGAAGTTTTCAAACACGAGTGAGCAAAGACGTCAATGGACTATGGCCGGAAGGGAGCAGGTTTAACTGAACGCATTGCTTTAGAAAGCCTGGTGACTTATAAAGCGTGATCTACGGCCGGTGGGAGGCTAGAAGGAGAAGCAAACTCACCTAGCAATTGTAGTTTTGTGCGTCGGTGGCACAGTGGTTAGGGCTCTCGCCGACCATGCACATGGTTAGAGGTTCGATCCCCTGCCGACGCAAACCTGATATCTATGGTTGGCCTGAAAAGTTTGGGCTACTGATATCCATGCTGAAAATTCCATATTTGTACGAAAAATACGGTGTGGAATCAGGCTGTAATCAAAAATGTAAAAAATATATACTAGCTCGGAAGCGGTACTACCAACGTCAGATTTCAAGGCATTTCGTATGCCTGAGAGAACTAACAGTAGTGATCCAGTCAAATGGGCATAGTTAGCAGCCCAAAACTCAGCCTTCAACTGTTCGTGTAAATGTCTTACCATGCTATTAGCCTGGTGATGGCAGGTTGTTGTTCGAAAACGCAAGGCAAAGGATAAACCACTATCGAATTTCCTCTCGCGATCAGTTGTTACTGAGGATGGGCATCCAAAGTTTGCAATGCATCGCCCGAAAGAGGCGCGTCAGACTGTTTCAGCAGATACATCCTTGAGGGGCACTGCTTCAGGCCATCGTATGAAGCGATCGATGCAGGTTAAAATATAAGTATATCCTTGGGATTCTGGGAGGGGTCAAACCAAATCCCTATGAAAGTGTTCGAAACGGGTGTCAGGAATAAAAAAGATACTAGGTGGGCTTTTGGTGTGTCTCACTACCTTACACTTTTGACAAGCTAAGCACGTGTGTGCCCATTCCCTTACTTCCTCATTAATACCAGGCCAACAAAACGGACTAGTTACCAGCTCAACGGTACTTCGAATACTTGGGTGGGATAAACCATGTGACGTATTGAAGACGCTATGGCGATAAATTTCAGGAACGATTGCGCGAGGAGTACCCGTGGAAACGTCACATAGAATGGTGCCTCTTTCCGTGCCTAAGGGTTTCTCGGCTAGTTGCGGAGTTGTGTTCGACAACTCATGTTGAAGCTCGCTACCTTCATTTTGAAGA